TATGTGCTTTGCACCGTCTAAGTGCAGAGTACTGTTACAAGATTGGCTGGAGCCTGTACCTGCACTCACTATTGCGGGTGAACCGCTTAAAGTTGTTAAGTTTCTGTGCCTGGGTAGTTTTGTGAGTGCTGGCGGAGGGGTGACGAATGAGATTTACAACCGTATAATGAAGGCTAGGTGACATACATCAACTTGAGCCACCTATGGCGCCGTCGCGACGTTAGCCTGGCTGTCAAAGGTCGGGTATACAATGCTTCGGTGCGGGCTGTCTTGCTCTACGCCTGTGAAACCTGGCCTCTCCGAGCTGAGGATGTACGGCGACTCTGCGTGTTCGATCATCGCTGTCTCCGCAGGATTGCTTGCGTTCGATGGATGTCATCATCGCGTGAGTGATTCTGAGGTTCAGCGGCGTGTGTTTGAACAAAGTGGAGATCACCATTCATTGAATGTCGTCACCTGGAAACACCGGCTCCGGTGGCTTGGACATGTGCTGTGAATGTCACCCCAGAGGCTTCCGTACAGGTCTCTGTTCGCTAGCCCTGGAACGAGATGGAAAAGGCGGAGAGGTGGTCAGTGCATGGCATCGTGGGATGAAGGATGTTTGTGCTAGATTAGCATCGGTTGGTGCGTCACAACTCCCTGCTTGAGATCCGAGAGATAGCTCGAATCGATGGCTCGAAACGTTATCGGATATGGCCAAGAGTCGTAATCAGTGGCGAACGTGTTGCAATTTCCTTCTTTCTTCTCTTCCTTGTTATGATGCTAGATCTTTGTCTCGAGGTAACTGCTTAACTACTGACCAGTGCCCACTTAACTGGTAAAGCAGAACACGCGATAATCAGCGGTAAAACCAGAATCATTTATTTATGACAAAAGTGACTGTATTTATACAAAAATAAGGTAGACTGGAAATCAACCAATCCGGTTGAGAGTTTGGAATTGTGCAAGCGTCCAATCAGAAAGCAGAAACAAATGCATGTCAACGACATGATAATAACTTGATAATTGCATGTGTTTTGCCTCTTCCTAACACCTCCCCTTTTAAGATAGGGCTACCGGTAGCTTTTGTATCGCGGAATCACTTGTAGGTACTTTGGCGGTCTTGGTTGTCGTTGTGATCTCCTTGGCTGCTGGGACACTTTGCCTTTGTTTCGACTATTTTGGCCATGTGACGTTTTCGGATCCGTCGTATCTATCAATAGCTCAAATTGTACGTCGGCGGACTTGGAATCGTTCAACTGTTTACCAACTAGTCTATTTCTTATTTGATTGGCATGCCTGACCCAAATAAGGTCTCCAACCTTGACCTTGTAAATGACTTGGCCTTTTCTTCCAACGATCACTCCAGAAACCCATGGGCGATCTCTCCGTATGTAATCACGAACCAGTACCGACTGACCAACCATGAAACTTCTTTGCTTGGTGCCATGACGTCTATTGAACCAAAATTCACTATTTCGACCACATTTGCTCCGTCTTGATGGGATCGGGATAATTGTATCCAAAGTAGTACGTAATCTTCTTCCAAACATAACTTCTGCGGGAGATGTTTGATTTGGGCATGATGGGTTGGTTGTGGTTCGATAAATGAAGAGGAAATTGTGCAATACATCCTCTATCGATCCCTCCCCGTTTGACTTCTGAAGTGCGCGCTTGAGTGTATCAACAAAACGCTCTGCTTGTCCATTTGACTGAGGATGGTAAGGCGGGCTGCGAATATGCTGAACACCTAGCCGCTCACAAAACTGTTTGAATTGTTCAGCTGTAAACTGAGGTCCGTTATCGGAAACGATGATCTCTGGAACACCAAATCTGCTGAAAAGCTGAACCAACTTATTTAATGTTATCGTCACTGTGGTATTTTGCATAATGAAAACCTCCGGCCACTTGGAATACGCGTCGATTACCACGAGAAACTGTTTGCCATTGATTGGGCCGGCAAAATCTATGTGGATTCTTGACCACGGTTTTCCTGGGTTGGGCCACGGCTGTAGGTCTGTCTTGATAGGCATTTTCAAAGCCTGAGCACAGCGAGAACATGAGCGAACCATCGCTTCTAATTCACGATCGATATTTGGCCAGTAGACGTAACAGCGTGCCAACGATTTCATACGGCCAATACCAGGATGCGTAAAATGTAGTTGACTCATGACTTTTTGTTGGAGACTTCGAGGCACGACCACACGTTCGCCAAACATAATGCAGTCATTGACCAGGGATAACGAATGTCGTCGTTGATAGAACTGTTTTAAATCTGGACAATCAATACGCGAGGGCCAGCCACAACGCAGATACTGTTGAACTGACTGTAATGTCGGGTCACGCTGCGTCTCTCGTTGAACCATGTCGGCTGAGACAGGTAAAGTGTTTATTGCCGTCATCAATACGTGGCACACGTCTTCATCGACAGAAACGCCGGCGATCACAGCGTCCTCCTTTGCGGTCGAGTTCGGATGCATCAACATGTTGGTAGGACTATCTGAGCACTGTACATTGGAACAAACTGAGTTCAGTGGGACATCCCAGAGTTTCATCTTTTCGATCCAGTCAATACCAAGCAAGTTCAAATCATGACGATTGGTGATGTAGCATGTTCCTTGGAACGAGGTCGACCGGAAAGTTACGTCGCATTCAATCTGGCCAGATAATTTCATTACGTCACCCGACGCGTTTCTTGCAGTATGCTCCGTTCTCTGATAAGGTGGACACCCGAGTGCCCGCCACGTCTTTTTTTTTTTTTTTGTGATATCAGAAGCAGTATCTAACTGTAGTCGAACTGGCTTCTGGTTGATAGAAAGTGTGACAAACTTTCTTTTTGACTCGAAGTCAACTTTGAAGGTAGCGAACATACTGCTGATTTGAGGTTTCGTCGACCGAGATCGAAACTTTCGTGACTGTGCCATCGTATTGTGAGATCGGATTGATCTAGGTTTCACTGGGGGACAAAATCCTTCCTTGTGACCATACTTGTTACAGATACTGCATTTATGTCTTTTATACGGGCAAAATTTACCAAAATGCCACGATCCACAAAACCAACAATTTGTGGGAGGCTTGTGTTTGACTTGCAGAGAATTGTTTGACTTGACAGCCTGAACAGAAGTAAATTCATGAACTTGACCGTCCTCAATCAACTTCGTGTCATGCTTTAGATTGATGATTCGCTGGCACTCAGCAGTTACCTCCTGTAAAGTCATGTCCGGTTTGCGTTCAATCTCTGCAAGGATTCGGGTACGAATATCACTGTCAACTGAAGATTTGAGACCGCAGACAAAGATCAGGCATTTAAACTGGTCATCCGTAAGTGATCGAATTTTCGATCGCTCGCATTCACGATTCACCTTACCAGCATAGGTGAGAATATCATCTCCTGGATCTTTGGATATCTTGAAACAATTGTAACGGATACTGAAGAGAGATAACTGTTCACCGAAAATATTGGTTAACGTTTGAACGGTTTCTTCAAAGTTGAGTTCTCTGGAGTTCTTTGGTAGAATATGATTGACATATTTGTTATGTTCGGCTGGACCAAGTTTCCGAAGGAGTAGTCTCACTTTGGCCGAATCATCTAGGTGAGCGCATTCAACCCGGAACAGATCTTCATAACGTCGAAACCAAGCTTCAAACGTCACGCCTGTTGAAGGTTCGAAATTGAACTCTACAATTGAACTCCCAATAGATTCGGTTTTCTCTGAGTTGGAACTGCCGAGATTTTGAATTGAAAACTGCTTTGTAAGTTTTTCAATCAAGCTGAGCTGGCAAGCTTCAAACTGTTGCTGTTGTTGATGAAGGAGAAGTTGCATTTGTTCAAATGAAATTGTCATTTGGAAGACAGGCTGGATGTACACTGGATGATCTGGTTTTTATTTGACTGTATTGAACTGCAATGGATTCGAAACCCCGTCGCCAATTGTTATGATGCTAGATCTTTGTCTCGAGGTAACTGCTTAACTACTGACCAGTGCCCACTTAACTGGTAAAGCAGAACACGCGATAATCAGCGGTAAAACCAGAATCATTTATTATGACAAAAGTGACTGTATTTATACAAAAATAAGGTAGACTGGAAATCAACCAATCCGGTTGAGAGTTTGGAATTGTGCAAGCGTCCAATCAGAAAGCAGAAACAAATGCATGTCAACGACATGATAATAACTTGATAATTGCATGTGTTTTGCCTCTTCCTAACATTCCTGATGATAGTTAACGAATACTGTTTGAACTTGTTAAGCATGACTGTTTTCCTTCCAGATGAAGTTCTTTATCCGTTCTCTACTTATACTTTTTTTACTTTTGATCTGTGTTGTTTTATTATTATTGTGTGGCGCATCCTTCTTGGTGCCATATTGTACCAAGTTTTTATGCGTTTAAATAAAATAATAAAATAAAAAACCGACTGTCATCAACAACTACCTTCGCTGGCTCCACATGCTGGAGATTAATTGGCCTGTCAGATAGGATAAAAAACGAAAAACTTTGTCAACGAGCCAAATCGAGAGTTTATTACCCATAAAAAATATGCAGAAGGAAAGGATGGTGGATTAGACGAACGATGAGTAGTTATCATACGATCTACCCACCTATGAGTAGAAGCTGAATAAGTTGGGTATGGACACGAGGTCGACATGAATGGGATGGGATGAGATGAGAAGGCGATGAGGGGGGTGCTTATGATCAATCATATAGCCTACTAGAACAGACTCCAAAGAACAATATGAAATAATGATGATGTGTGTTACTGAAACCTCGTGGTGTTTCACTCGGAAGCAATTGGAATAACAATAACAACAGTAACATATCTACAGATAAAAAAGAACGACATGACTGCCAGTTGTGAAGTCTCATAAAACAGTCATATTTATTTATTCCATAATTATAAATGAAAACTTTCATCCACAACAATTCAATCAAGCATTATGAATTTAATATTGTATTAGAAAAGTTTGTTTGTGTATCTCTCACATTGTTGATACATTCATAAAGGCAAAAAATGCACTTACACGACAGGCTAATACAGATAATAAGCGTTCTTGCAGTGTAAGAATTGATCCCATTCGACCACTTTCAAACGATGATGTCTATAAAGGAAGAAAAGACAATAAATTATTAATTAACCATGGAATTCAATAGATAAAATTTTTTTTAAATATTCCATTCACCTCTATACTTATGATTATTAAAAACCTTTGCATTTATTTTTAGAAAAACAAGTTGAGCGAAGAATATCCTTTTCGATTGGTTACAGGATTTCATCATGAGCTGACATTGGTTAGATAACCGTTAGAAAACCAGCAAGCAGTACTGGAGGGGCTCTTTCATCCCAACTTAGAACTCTTCAGCAGTACGCACTCACTCCACAGACAGGGTTCGAACCCAGGGTATACTGGTTACAAGGTGAGCTAGCTCGTAGACCATTAAGCCACTGGGACCCATCCGATCCAATGACCAGCCACTGCATGAATTCAAACTTCTGCCAATTCAAGATGTAGCGCGACCGCTAGCCAGTGTCTTCGGAGAGCAATTGTCTTCACACCCGACATGCTGCACCCTACTGATCACGACTTCTCATTAGAACCCCAGGTAACTACCTACTTGAATAGGGCCATTTGCTAGTGAGCATCTCATTGATATTCAAGTATTGGTTTGTAGGGATTTGACTGATTGATTACAGGATTTCATTATGAGCTGACATTGGTTAGAGAACCATTGGAAAAACACAACGGGAGTATTGGACAGCTGTACTGATGAAGAGTCCCACACTAGGACGAAACATTCTTTGTTCAAATTTTGAAAAAATATTTTCTCTAGATCGGTTTCTGTTTACTGTTAATCTAATCCCAAGCACATAACAAACAAAGGTATAAGTGAAATACCATTATGCATAAAATTTATTTTGATAAAGCCACACAGTGATATTTACTGATGACCACATTTCGACGACAGTTTGTTACTTACTTACTGATCATAATCATATCACATCAAGGTACGTACACACTCACACAACTTTCTAACTTCGTTTATATAATTCCATTATTTCAGTTCATCGCTTGACTTGATTGGTAGTAATATTTTTTACATATTTCCTGTATGAGTGATGAGTCATTCGTATTGCACATGTTGGGTGTAGATTCCCTCGATGAACAAGGATTCAGTAATCAACCTCTCTCTCCACATACCTATCTACCTACCTATATTACTTCTTAGAATTACAACTTATTGTGTGGTTGTGTGTTAAAATGCATGCAGTGCAATTGCTACTGACCTTTTTTCTAAATTACTTATTTTCTCGGGGTCAATCATTCTAACCTTAGCCACTAAATTCTTACGTTTTGACAAGCTGACTAACCCAATATACCACTTTTACCTATATGGTTGACCTCAATCAGAGTCATTGCAAAATATTTTATAAATAATATTATTTTGTCTAACTGGGTCGACCCATAGGGTCTTTAAAACCTACAGAGCTTCTCCTGTCTGAGTGAGTGTATAGGTTTAAATGTCACCCTAATTTTTGTTTTATTGAAAATCCTATTTAGGGACCCGTCTCAGATGCCCCCTCCTTATATGGTATAACAGTAGATGCCGTATATTCTCTCTTATTGATGCCATCATCACTATTTTCACAATTATTTTTACTTTCCTTTTGACCTTTTTTGATATTCCTAATAAATTTCATAGGATAGTTAGTTATCTAACACCAACGCCTCTTCTCTCTGTTTCATTTCATCGTTTAGGTATTTTCTTGTATTATTTAATGTTATCGCTCTGTTTGTTAGACACCGCCTGCCTTTACAGACAACGGATGAGATGAATTAAAGTCTAAATACCTATTAACAGAATGCCTTGGCTCTTTATAAACGCTGGTGTAAAGTACACCTTTTGCCGTTCGTTTTATTTTACAATCTAACACCATAGCTAATTCTCCTTGTTCATTTTCTGATTTAAATGTGAATTTTATTTCCTTTACTAGTGAGTTTATGCGTGTGAAGAAACTACAGATATGTTCTGTTTATAACATTGTGAGTGGAAGTTTCATCCACATATCTCCAGCATATTTTTGGAGTAGGAATAAGTGAGTGTATTAAGAGAAATATTTTCTCAGCAGACCATAGAGATTTAATTGAATTTGCGATTTTCCTGTTGACTGATTGGACCGAAGTGCTCGGTCTCAGGTTGGCATGTCGGCTTCTTTTGCAGATGCTTCGACGATGTCTGGACATTTATTCAGAATTTAATCTGTGGATAGTGACTAGCAGTGGAATCCAGGATAAGGCGCATTTCGTCCTATATGGGACTCGTCATCCGGATGTACCTGCATTTCCCAGTGAGTATTGATGTTCCCACCGAGGCTCGAACCCAGTGTCCTTATTTTCAAACGCCAAAGCGTTATCCACTAGACCACTTGGGCCACGAGATTGTAATTAAATGCCCAGACATCGTTGAAGCATCTGCACAAGAAGCCGACATGTCAAGCTGAAACCGAGCGTTTTGGTCCAATCAATCGACGGGAAAATCTCAAATCCAATTAAATTAATAGGACCCGTTGCACAAGAGATGGCTTTCGTGGTAAAAGTGGTCTAGTGGATAACGCTTTGGCATTTGAAACTAAGGTCACTGGGTTCGAGCCTCGGTGGGAACATCATTACCCACTGGGAAATGCATGTACATCCAATTGACGAGTCCTAAATAGGGCGAAATGCACATCCTGGATTCCACTGCTAGTCACCATCTACAGATTAAATTCTAGAGGGATATCTGCTACGATTGGGTAATATATGTAAGTGGAGAGAGAGAGGTTGATTACTGAATCTTCGGTCATAGAATCTACACCTAACACGTACAACAGGAATGACTCATCACTTATACCGGAGATATGGAAAATATTACTACCAATCAAATCAAGCGATGAACTGAAATAATAGAATTATATAAACGAAGTTAGAAAGTTGTGTGAGTAATGTCTTGATATGATTATGAGGAGTAAGTAATGAGCTGTACTCGAAATGTGGTCATCAGTAAATAAATATTACTGTATAACACTGAGACTTTGTCAATCAAACCAAATCCCTACAAAAAACAATACTTGAAAAAAAAAATGATTTCATCCATAATTGAATTATAATCTACCACCACAGAACACAAATTTTATTCTTATATTAATAACTAAAATAATTTTCTATGATGTTTAAATCAACGCGAATAGTTGATTAATGATTTTAGATGGTCAGAAAGTAGAAAAAAAATCGTGAGAACTGTTCACGTTTTTTGTCCACCTGGTGGTGTCTGTCGTTTTGGTATGAATGGTTTACTTACAATGAATTAAATGAGCCATAAAACGATTTGACGCAGATAAGACATGCAGATAAATTCTATAGCATAATTATTATGTTTCAGATATCTTTCTCACAAGCAGATCTTACGGTAGTATCAAAAAAAAAGGATTTGCATAAGAAAAGTACACTGACAGTATAACATACACATCTCAACTTTAAATCGAATGAATGAAGTACAGAATAGCATATCACTTACATCCGTCTACAGAAGAGGAAGATAAGTGTTCATCTTTCCTATATACATATTGCTTAGTCAATGGTTTGATTGATCAACAAAACGATCTATTTATAGAAGACCCACCTAGACAGGACAGGACAGTATCTTAATCGCTACAGTTTCTGCCTTCCCTTAGTGAGCGACGTGTCTCTTCAGAAGAATCCAACGAATATGCGCTGAAGACAGACACACTTGACGAGGAAGAATGGAAGTTAACGGAAACTCTGATTAGAACACCAATGCCCATTCTCCAACTCGCCGTTAAGAAAGGTGTGTACATTAAGCTACCTACCCTATATGGGTTATCATAGCAGGCAGCTTGAAAACTAGACAAAGAGTGAACGTTGCTGTTAAAAAGAATTTTTATGCAGCTAATATCATAATAATTGCGAATGTGAAGCCAATGTATCCATCCATTCATCTAAGCCCTTTGAACATGCGAAAAATGATTCACATCCCACTGTTGTATTTACCAATTGAATGTCCGTGTGGACACACATACATACATACATACATAGAAGGGAGGACCCATCGATCTCTGCAAGTAAGGGTTGACTTCAAAGCATATTTCCAAATGGCTTAAGAAACAAATTGAATCTCCAGAACCAATATTGGTGAGAACAGGAGACCAAGCTCTTCTATTGAGAAACATATTACAGAGGAGACAGGACATGTCTTTTAAACCTATCTATGTCCTTTTAACTTTACCTAAGTCTATTTCTATTTCTCACCTCTTAACTGTTTATAAACTTCATATATACACATTCCTATGATAAGTTCATATGTGATCAGATTGTTCGAAAGGTGTCACGATTCAGAAAAATTACGTCTTCTAATTGCTTTGTTTAAATTCGAAAAGGGGACTAATTGTTTGAAATACACATTTTCATTGCTTTTGTTTCTTTCCAGTATATAAGTAAATTTGGTGAAGACCTCAGCTAAAGGGTCAGAGCTATATGCTCGGAAAGTGTAACTGAAGAAAGTAGAAATTACATCTTTTGTATCAGTTAACAAGATGTCTACCTCTCTCTCTCTCTAAGTTGAGAAAATCATTTCGAAGCAGCAGTACATGCTTTTATACGACCACTTGTGATTTTTCAACTAAAAGACGAAGTACACCTAGGCGCTAGCTACCTCTTATTGTATTTATTCATTCAACCAGTTCTATCGATCATTTGTTGCTCTAGGAACTTAATTTTTCGTACTCGGGAACACTTACTAGTGTGACTAAACAAAGCTGTTGTTAAAACCATCAACAAAGGCCATCTGTCTGTCTGTCTGTTTTCGACATAGAACTTTGCACAAATGTGCGGAAGTTCAAGTCGCCACATTCCGTGTAGCACGCGAAGCAAGAGAAGAAAGTACAAGAAAAGCATAATAGAAACAGTGAGCAGAGGTGTGAGACAAAGGAGTAATAAAGAAATACAAAACAGTTTCATTGAAGATCATAAGTCACAGGGAGTGGATGCATCTGCGCCACTGAGAACGATTTTGAGCCATGTCACCAATTGTTTCCAACCATAGATTT